CTGAAGATTTTGCAAAAGTTCTTACAAAGCCTCAACCCCCAACTTTGTAAACAGGTTATTTTGCCACAAAACGTTGTAAAGACTTTGCAAAACCCACAACACATTTTTCAAGACTTCGCAAAGCCCGAAATTTGGGAAAACATGTAAAACCACAACTTTCATGAACAGGTTGTAACATTATCATTCTTTGTGAAACCTTTGTAATAAGCTTGTGCAGTCCAACATTTTGGAAAACTAGGTGCAGACTTTACTTGTAAAATTTGGACCAGTTTTGTTTTGTTCAACAGAAGTGTTATTCATGTATATAGTTGTTTGTGTAAATACGTGTGTGTCGCCAGCGGCTTGTGGACTATGTAAAAACATTGCAGAAACCACTTGGAAGGTTTGACAACTTCTGGTAAAAACGACGCAATAAACACGTGCAAACGTGAAGCCTACAAGAAAACTAGCTAGGCAGGGGTTTTCGGTTAACCTTCTTTGGAAAGGATTCAGTTTGCGGACTGCAACAAAAGCTGTTGCAAACCATGCTGAGAAAAAATCCGCCCAAAGTTACAAGTTTTTTGCAATGGTCAAAGCTGGCCCAGCTTTCCATGCAGCAGTGTTCTCAAAGCTTAAGCAGGGCACTGCCAGCTAGAATCATGTCAGTAGTTCATGGCTCGAAGGAATGTGTTGAGCAATATTATGAATAAAACCCGTCCTGCCCTCCAACATGTGCTGACAGGAGAAGGGCATGATCGCTCATGTTGGTGAGAAGCTCCTTGCTTGGCATGATTTATTTCGGAAACACAGGTTTACGCAGAGCATTTCTTTTGGTTTTCACGCTTTCTTGCCAAAGCAAGTTTATGCCTGCAATTTGTGGATGTGCTCCCTTCCCTCCATCTTCAAAACTTGAGAACCACAAAGCAATAAGGTGCAATTCTTCTCTATTTTTTGAAGACACAGTTTGTGGGTTTCTTCCTTTAAAAGAAGGGATGGGCGCAGTGCTACTGCCGTGTGCCACTGCGAGCCACAGTATTTGGCACATGTTTGGTTCGGTCTGGCTATCTTGACAGGGTCACAGTTGGGAGCAGCTGTGTTTGATCCATTTTCTCTCAAACCGACCAATGCCGAGTGAGGTGTTGAGATTCTTTCAGCCATTCCTATTTCGTTTTAGCTAGCCACCCTCGTGTTACTATACACGTCAATAAGATAGATTTGATACACTCCGTGAAATAGTCATGAAGTGGAAAACCACCTGTTTTAGAGGAAAGTGTTTATGCAAGGGGCCACCATGATTATTCCAGCGAGTGTAAGTAAGCATTGCCCACAGGAACTGCCCAACAGTCTAGATCGGAAACGGTTTCTTCAGATAGAAACAGTTGAGCCCAAAACAGCCATGTATATTGAGCTTTTTGCAATCTTCTATTCGAGTATTGTCGCAAGGTAACCTATGGTTTCGATACATGTAGGCACAGGAGGTTCACAGAGGAAGGGTAGGGCATGTCTTGCTGGAAGAGCGTGCCTGTGAATTAGGGAATGATGTCTTCTATTTGAAACAAGCGCATGCAAATAAGAAATAAGATCACTCTGCTTAGAATGGAATACATCATAACGTATCTTTATATTGAGGTGTGTCGAAAATAGATTAAAGGTGATGTTACTGCATATTTTTCCCCAAACAGTTTACTGTTAGGGGTTCTCAATTCTTTCTTAAGATGTGTCCGCCCTTTGTGTCACTGCTGGTGTCCGCCCTTTTCCGCTGGCCATGTAGCATTTCTATTCATTTGTCTCCCAGGTCTGTCACTGCTGGTGTCCGCCCTTTTCCGCTTGCGATGCACCATTTCTATTCATTCCCGAAACAGTTTACTGTTAGGGGTTCTCAATTCTTCTTTATGATGTGTCCGCCCTTTCTGTCGCTGCTGGCCCTTTTCCGCTGGCCATGCAGCATTTCCTTGTCTCCCTTCTCTCTCCCTTTGTCTCCGGTCTTGTCTCCCTTCTTGTTGGTCACTGTATCTGCCTTGTCTCCCTTCTGCTTCCTTTTGTCTCCCTTCTTGTCTCCCTTCTTGTTGGTCACTGCGTCCGCCTTGTCTCCCTTCTGTCTCCCTTTGTCTCCGGTCTTGTCTCCCTTTGTTGGTCATTGTGTCCGTCTTGTCTCCCTTCCGTCTCCTTTTGTTTCCCTTCTTGTCTCTCTTCTTGTTGATCTTTGTGTCCGCCTTGTCTCCCTTCTGTCTCCCTTTGTGTCCGGTCTTGTCTCCCTTTTTGTTGGTCACTGTGTCCGTCTTCCCTTCTTGTCTCCGGTCTTGTCCTCCCTTCTTGTTGGTCACTGTGTCGGTCTTGTCTCCCTTCTTGTCTCCCTTCTTGTTGGTCATTGTGTCCGCCTCGTCTCCCTTCATTCTTTCTTTGTCTCCAGTCTTGTCTACCTTCTTGTGGGTCATTGTGTCCGTCTTGTCTCCCTTCTTTTGCTTTTGTCTCCCTTCTGTTTCCTTTTGATTCCCTTCTTGTCTCCGTTCTTGTCTCCCTTCTTGTCTCCCATCTTGTTGGTCATTGCGTCCGTCTTGTCTCCCTTCATTCTTTCTTTGTTTCCGGTCTTGTCTCCCTTCTTGTGGGTCACAGTGTCCGTGTTGTCTCCCTTCTTTCGCCTTCGTCTCCCTTCTGCTTCCTTTTGACTCCCTTCTTGTCTGCGTTCTTGTTGATCATTGTGTCCGTCTTGTCTCCCTTCTGTGATCTTTGTCTCCCTTTTTGTCTCCCTTCTTGTTGGTCATTGTGTCCGTCTTGTCTCCCTTCTGTCTCCGTTTGCCTCCGGTCTTGTCTCCCTTCTTGTTGGTCATTGTGTCCGCCTTGTCTTCCTTCTTGTCTCCCTTTGTCTCCGGTCTTGTCTCCCTTCTTGTTCGTCATTGTGTCCGTCTTGTCTCCCTTCTTTTGCCTTTTGTCTCCATTCTTGTTGGTCATTGTGTCTGCCTTGTCTCCCCTCTGTTTCTTTTTGTCTCCGGTTTTGTCCCCCTTCTGTGTCCGTCTTGTTTCCCTTCCGTTTCGTTTTGTCTCCCTTCTTGTCTCCCTTCTTGTCCGTCCTGGTTGGTCATTGTGTCCGCCTTGTCTCATTTCTGTCTCCCTTTGTCTCCGTCTCCCTTCTTGTTGGTCACTGTGTCCGTCTTGTCTTCTTCTGTTTCCTTTTGTCTCCCTTCTTGTCTCCGGTGTTGTCCGGTCATTGTGTCCACCTTGTCTCCCTTCTGCCTTCCTTTGTCTCCGGTCTGTCTCCCTTCTTGTTGGTCAGTGTTTCCGCCTTGTCTCCTTTCTGTCTCCCTTTGTCTCCGGTCTTGTCTCCCTTCTTGTTGGTCAGTGTGTCCGTCTTGTATCCCTCTGTTTCCTTGTTGTCTCCCTTCTTGTTGGTCATTGTGTCTGTCTTGTCTCCCTTTTTTCCTTTCGTCTGCCTTCGTGTCTCCCTTCATTGTGTCGGCCTTGTCTCCCTTCTTGTCTCCCTTTGTCTCCAGTCTTGTCTCACTTCTTGTTGGTCACTGTGTCCGTCTTGTCTCCCTTCTGTTCCCTTCTTGTCTCCCTTGTTGTCTCCCTTCTTGTTGGTCATTGTGTCTGCCTTGTCTTCCTTCTTGTCTCCCTTTGTCTCCCTTCTTGTTCGTCATTGTGTCCGTCTTGTCTCCCTTCTTTTGCCTTTTGTCTCCCTTCTTGTTGGTCATTGCGTCTTGTCTCCCTTCTGTTTCCTTTTGTCCGCCTTCTTGTTGGTCATTGTGTCCGCCTTGTCTCTCTTTCTGTATCCTTTTGTCTCCCTTCTTGTCTACCTTCTTGTTGATCACTGTGTCCACCTTGTCTCCCTTCTTGTTGATGTCTCAAAAAGTGGACTTGGGAATGCTTCGTTGTTGTCTAACCTGTTTGGGGTCTACGGTGGTGTAATTCTTTGTGGGGTCATTTCGATCTTGAAAAGTAAGGAGTAGCATAAGAGGGCTTCAGGTCAGAGAACTGGAAGTCACTATCTATGGTGATTTGCGGTAAGATCCTAAGTACATTTCTAGAGGAGCATTGATCAAACTTGTGTCAGGTGAGCTGTGTCGGTGCTTTCTCGCTACTCTCGCGGCGAAGCCCCTCTTGAGGGTACAAACGGTTAACAAAAACCAACATGTAATCCAAACAAGCTTTCGCAACTACGCAACTACATTCACAACAACAAAATGCAAATGTCATATGTGTTGTGGATGGCCTGTGTTGAATTTTCTTGTGCGCCGTGTCTTGCACTGTGGTGAAAAAGATTGCATATTTTGTTTGTTTCCTTCTATCTCTAACATTGCTGCTTGGGCTACGTGAATCCAACTAATTATTGCACATTCGCCAGTAGCGTGTGCCTTGGCTTTCCAGAGCTACCTAGTATTGCAGAGCAGCCTTGATTGATTGGAGTTTCACAAATGTGAGCATTGCAGCTAGCAAGAAGAACGCTTGTGATCTCCACACTTGACTGTGGAAGTGTTGCCGCATAGTTAGTTCTCGTCATTGAGGTCTAGTAAGCAGATGATTTACACACGCAAAATTGGTGGTGGTGAGGACTCTGGACATGCCGCTTTGATATTGCTGGAGGGGCTTGGACAATACGATGTAATTGTGATGTACGATAGGGTCCTGAAAGGGGATATCCAATCAGGAACCGCATACCACTCTGGGTGGTTGGTAGTTTCTTGAGTTGCAGGACTGAGCCGTGAACACTTGGCCTGAGCTCAAGCTGGGCAACGGAATGAAAAGATTTGGTCTTTTTTCCTGTCATTGCTCTTAGCTCCAGGTGGGTTGCAGAGTGGACCTCAGGGCTGCATCGATCTTTTGGCTGCAGGTCCAAGCCGTCTAGGAAGAAACCCTTTTGTATAATTTGGCTTCTTACTTTTTGTAGGAGCTCTGGACTCCATACTTCTAAATATGAACATGGGAGAGAGGTCTACTGCATTTAGGCTTTCCCTACTCATGACAGATGCCCAACTTTTGCTGGTTCTGATCTGCTTCTTCTGGCTCGAGTAACTTCTGAAAGAGTGGCCAAATTGCCGGCCGTTCTGACGTGCTGTTGGCGTCATAGTCAGACATTTCGAGAGAGAGTTGCTTGAGAGGTCGCCTAGGCCCTAGGCAATTTGAAGGTTCCATTTCCTGTTCGCGATGTACTTACTGTACTATGTTTTAGGTAAAAAGTGTAGAGCTATGTTTGAATAGGCCTTTGTGAAGACGTGAGGTAGCAACAACATGATGCAAGCTCTTGTTTTGCGTCAAAGCATTTCGGTTTGTGCAATCTCAAGCTTCAGGCAAGAAGCCATGGCAGAAGAAGAGCCTGAGGTCCTTTAAGGGGTTGCTGTTGGCTAGGTTGGGTTGCGTTCGCTGGCCGGAGCCAGGCCATGCAAATCAATGTTTCAGTGCTTTAGAATGTCGCTTGTCAGGAGCAAAGTGAAAGCTGCATTTGGTTGATTTGAATTGATCAAGCCGCAGCTTTTCTTGGTAAGCCCGGTCAAGTGTTGCTCTAAGATATAGGGTGTCCGATGGGTATCCCACGCTTTTATCGATGGTTGTCGGATGCTAGACAGCACTCGTGACCATCTCGATTGCACTCAATTCCAGATGGCCGAGTGAGGGCTCCTTTTGAAAAGTACCAGAAGAGGAGTTGCACCTTGACTTGACTTGCCACTGTTCTGCTTCATCCAAGGAGCGCTACCCTTTGATCAATGAGAACATTACTGCAGAACAAATTCCGGATTTCGACAACTTGTACCTGGATATGAACGGTATCATCCACAACTGCTCCCACAACAACACTGGAGGCAAATGGATTTTTGAACGGTTCATATAAGCGTTGTCATATTCAGCCTCTGAGTGGTTGTGAAATGCAGATGGGGCAGGCCTTTGCCAGAAGGAGGAGAGTGATGTGTTCGTTGAAGCCTTCAGCTACATTTGTCGTTTGGTACAGATCATTCGGCCAAAGAAGATTCTATACATGGCGGTTGACGGTTGTGCTCCTCGAGCCAAGATGAACCAACAGCGTGTGATGCTTAGCTCCACAACATGGCCGTTTCGAAGCGATTTGTTTCGGTTCACACATATATATATATATACACACATTACAATAAGTGATAACGAAGATATGTCGACTGAACTCGCAGCAATTGGCTCAAGGCAACCTCTTACCCCCCCGGCACCTACGGGCATGTGGGTGTCGGGGGGTGTGGACAGGGAAAAATGGATGGCCTTCAGGTTCACTCCTGGGCTCTTGATAGAAGGAGCCATCCGGGATGATGAACAGAAGGCCCAGGGGACTATGATCATGGAAGTGTTGGAAGGGATGACCACCGACGCCCATGGTCATTGGTTCCGAGGCAAGTACATCACAGCCAGTGACCCTCACATGAGGTGGTGGATGAAAGAAGGCGCAGGTGCAGCTCTGGCAGGGCGATGTGCCTATCATGCCTGTGAGGGGCCGTCAATAGACTGCACGGTGACTCGACGAGGAGCTTCGATGCACCTGGAGCGCTTCAGAGCCTTGAACCAGAAAGAGATCAACAACCATGTCCCGGAGTGGGCCTTTGACAAGACTTGCGGCAAAGACTTCATCAAGTATTTGAAGGGCAAGGGCATGGCGCCAGGTGCCAAGAAGACTGGTGCTGAGTTACCCTGGGTTGATCCAGGTGAGGATGACAGTGATGATGAGGAGGCCGTAGGCTCGGGCGGCGAGAGCTCGAGCGGAGGCGGGCTGAAAGCCAAGCTGTTGAAGGCCCGCGATGAGGTGGGCCGTTTAGAGAAAGAGCTCAAAGAAGCTCACTGCCAAGAAAGCAGAAAAGAAGCACAAGGAGGAGGCAAAGAAGAAGAAGAAGAAGAAGAAGAAGAGGCCCAAAGAGGCTGAAGAAGGTGCGGCTGCCTCAGGGGTAAGGAGAGAAGAAGAGCCCAAAACGGGAAAGAAGAGGAAACGTTCACCCTCCTCAGGAGGTGGAAAGGAGAAGAAGGCCGCAAGGGGTTCCGGCCGAAAGAAGAAGTCTGAAGCCAAGGTGGCGAAGGAGAAGAAGAAGACAGCTTCGGAGTCCTCAAGCTCCTCGGACGAAGGTGAAGAGAAGGCCCTCTTTGGGGAAGCCCATCGCCCTGAAGCTGAGGGTAAGATTGCAAAGGGTCGTAAGGATCGAGGCCCCTTTGGGGGAGGAGATATCGTCCGCTTCCATGGGGAGTCCTCCAGTGAGTCAGAGCCGCTTTTTCGGGAAGCCCCCGCAGTTCCAAAGGCGTCGAACCAGCTGAAGTTGATGCAGTACACCAAGAAGACGCCAGGCCGCTTAGCGTCGCGACTGTTGCTGAAGATGCAGCAGGAAGGTGCGCAAGGAGCTGTGGGGGCGAATCCCGTCGAGTTGGGCGAACTGACTCCACCGGCCGCCGTCCATTACTTCCACACGATGATGGTGGCAGCTGGGGTCCCGCCTGGGGATTCGGGCGCGCAGGGAACTCCGAACGCTATGCACCATCCTCGATCACCTAGCGCGGAGACAGCCAGCGAGAGCAGCAGACATAGTGGGGCAGCGGGTGAAGGCCATAGAGAAGAGTTGCATAGACGGACACTGGGCAGGAGCCCAGTACCTGGAACTTCTGGGACCCGACGCGGGCGGTCTCCTGGAAAGAGACGAAGAGGTGCTCATGAACAGGGAACACCTGCTGGACCTGAAGTTGAGGGGCTATCACCCCAAGGGGACCGGCCCGAAGCAAAAGGAAGCCGCGAGAAGGGCGGCGAAAAGGGCAAGGAGAGAGGAAAAGGAAAAGGAGGAGACAAGGACAAAGAGAAGAAGGATTGAGTAAGGGTTCAGAGGATCGCCCTGAAGCAAAGCAGGCAGCAGCCCCTTGGACTGAGGAGTGGAAGGGCTTCATGAGTACATCGAGAACTCCCTTGAGGAATGGCAGCCCATACTCGATTGGATTCTTCGAAAGGTTCGTGAGCATCGTGAGTCTCAGGAGTTGTAGGTGAGATTGTCGTAGGATGCTCATCTGAAGTCGATCGCCGATGGATAACAGCTACGGGGGTAGCTTTGCTTAGACATGAGGGACTGGTCGATGAAGTGAGGGTAGCCATGGCAGGTGGTGGAGTTCAACTCGGAGGAATTGAAGGATCGGAACTTTGAGTGGGAACGCTGCAAAGAGTGGTCGATTCGCTGCGGTTTGGATGGGAACTGTGTGGTCTTTAGATCTGGGAAGGGAAAAGAGGAAAACATGTGTGGCAGCCGCAATGCAGGAACTTTTTGTCACGTGCAAAAACTCAGTATCAAGTAGAGGTAAGAAGGTTTCGGCGTCCATGTGTGGCTTGCCATAGAGAGGCATGGAGGCCGTCACGCCCGGCTGGAGAGGCGCTGTGAGAGGTAGTGCGACTGGAGGTAGTCCATCGCGTGGAAGTCGAAGAGTCCTCCGTACGAGCCGGTGGGGCGCGTGATCGAGCACGGGATGTATGAGGTGGCTGAACGAGAGCTTCGCCATGTTGTGGCGCCGGCTGGAGTCGAATGTCATCACGTGGGGGGGCAATAGGTGGACGAGCTTGCGGTAGTTGATGATCTGGAGGATCGCGTAGAGCAGGTCCTGATCGACTGAAAGCATCCATGTAGCGAATGTTTGCTTGGTGCCAAGTGCGAGTAATAGCGGCCAGTTCATTGTGAGGAATTTCTTGGACTTGTCTAAGAGCGGTGTCAACTCGATCTTGTAGAATGCCGAGTTCAAGAAGAATAATTCGAAAGTCACGGAAATGATGGTAGGCTTCTTCTGTCGGGAATTGATCTTGAGGAGGAACAGGTTGGAGGACGACTGGATGAAGCTGGATGCATTCGATAATCCAAGAGACTGAGAGCAAATTGAGAGTCCAATGAAGCCACATCATCTCGGGATGGCGTACCGGACCTGGATCAAGTTGCCGTGGAGGTTGGCGAGGCGTGGTAAAGGTCCGAAAACGGGGACCGCCGCGTTCACTGATTGTGGAAAGCCTGGGTATGACATGGTTCGCGCTTGAGAACATCAAAATGGCTGAGGAGTGAAGGGTGAAAATTAGCAACCAAATGGACACATATGGGGAAGGGGACAATGCTGTCCGGAGAGGGAGAGGTGTCATGGAGGCGGCCGCATCTTTTTCATCCGCGCGAAATGGTGGAGGGGTAAAAATTCGAAGCAAAACTTGTGAGACTGAGAATGATCAGCTAGGCATAGTGTCCGAATCAGGAACTGGAGGACTGGGCGGGTCCTGATTGTTGGCAGTCGAAGGTGCTGAAGGCAAGGTGGGTGGATCAAGAGTGTCGAGGTTGGAAGGTTCGACAGTGGCCAATGGTTCCACCACAGTAGGTGCCGGCGTGGTAGTACACGCATGTAGAGACTCTGCGGGCGAAGTGTCAGGAAGGCTGGGCTCGGTGGAGGGAGCCGGGATGGCTCGGTCGGTTCGCGGTGAGGGTGGAGGCGATGTCCTGATGATGTCTTCAGGGTTGAGATTCTCGGCCGGTGGTGTAGTGGTAATGTCGCCGTTCTCAGTGGCCGTGAAGGTCTGGAGAGCTAATATCTCGGACCAGCGTGCCTTGCGTTGGGCAGCTGAGCATTGGAGCCTCTTGGCGATGAAATTCCAGCTCGGACGCAGCTTGGCATCTGCATGTCAACGAGCTGGTCTTCTTGCCATGGTTCCCAAGAGTCCCAATTTTCATGGAGTTCATCGAGTAGTTGAGAGCGACGCTTGGTTGATGCCGTAGCGGGAGCTGAGGGTCTGGATTTGACCTTATAACCTTGGCTGAGAGGCGAGTACGAGGTCTCTTGGGCGGAGGAGGTCGAGCTGGTGCTGAGGAGCAGTCGCTGTCTTCGGAGGACGAGGGGATGTGAGGGACATGGGCTGGATGGGGAGGTGGGGGAGGGATGTCATCTTCGCTGGTGTGAGGCACCAAGTTGAGAAGGTGCTGTTTTGCATGGGAGGTAATAGGCCATGTTGAGGATGCAGAACGGGCGGATAGCCCATGGTAGGAGCTGGTGGAGGTTGTCCTCGAAGTATATCATGGATCTCATCCAAAGAGGAAGCGGCCAATCGCAAAGTAGAAGCGACATTGGAGACACATTGGGCAATGCGGTCGCATTGAGGAGTCGGTCCGGGTAGTGTGGAGCGAGTCACCATGGCAAACAATTGAAGTGACTTCGAAGTATGAGTACAAATGGATCAAACTGCGATGATGAACATGGTCGTCAAGATCGTTGTGAAAATCTTTCTTCTGAGGCCCTATAGAGTGGGTGTGGGTGAGGGGGTTGAGGAGCAGTCGCAAAAGTGAAATGGAGCAAGCAAGCAATGAGAAGTGCATAGCGACGCTTCTTTTTGGCACAGTCAGCGGCTTATCATCACAAAAAGGATTGTGGTGGGGTTGCATTACACTCCCAAGCAATGCCACGGATCACTGCATTGTCAGGGTGGATGATGTAGCATTTTCCTTTGTCGCGCTTGACAACTCCATGCCCTGCAGTGAGAAGGCGTTCCCCTTCAGCTTCACCTCCGTGCGTAAATTTCTTACCGGTTCCCCAAGCCATGCAGTGGAGAATGATGCCTGCCCGGTTCTTGTCCATCTGGCAGTTCTTGTCAATGACACGGGCCGTGTGCCAAGAATCATGAGCAATGGAGCCACTGATCTCGTAGCCTTGAGCATAGAAACCCTGAGCGTCCTGGGTGTGCTGGGCTTGAATCGTCCGGATTGAAGGAGGTTGAGCAAATTGCCCTGTTTATGATCAACACGGTTCTTCTCTTGGAGGTGGGGAATGTATAAAGAGAAGTATTTTGTCAGCACATCGGCCTTCCAGTCGGAGTGGGTCCATTCCTGCAGGTCTTGGAGGTCTTTAGCTTTGATGCCTGCAGTGGTGAGAACCTTGGCCACATATTGGGGAATTGGAAGGAGTAAGCTGATCAAATTGATGATGTAGGAAGTGGAGGATCCGTTGAAAAGTGTTGGTGTCATATGTGTGTCTGGCAAAGTCCCGATCTGTTTCTGTATAGGGATTGGGTGGTCGTCGAAGTGGATCAATGGGGTCATTTCTCGTGGTGGTAGCGAGTGGACCCCCTTGGGGCGAGGGGTGTTGGTGGGGTCTGGGGCTGGGTTGGAGCCTGTTGCGTCCGAGTGTTGGGGATTGGGGGTGAGTCGGGCGGAACGGGAGCGAGTCCTGGTGTTGTAGCTGGTCAATTGTGGAGGTGCCCAAACGCCTCGCACGGGTGGGGGGTTGTCGGTGGCTGGGGGCGGGTGACTGGGCGCTGTTGTGGACCGTGAGTTGGAGGATGGATGGCTGGACTCTTGGCAGTGGTGGTGGGCCGCTGGCGAGTGGAGGCCTTGGGGATGCGTGGTGCCGAGACCGCAATCAAGGTCTGTTGCGAGGGGGAATGTGGGAACAGTGATGTTGATAGATGGCAGACGTGAGGCTGTAGTGTCCTTCTGAAGGGGTGTACCCACTGTGGGAGTGGATGTGGTAGTGGTGGAAGTGTCAGCTTGGGTTGGAGTAATGTCAGTGGTGCGCGTGGACATGGTTGGAGCGGAGGCGACGTCCTGGGACGTGCTCAGTGGGGCAGGCTGTGGTGATGAGGTAGTCTGCGGCGACATGGTGGGGGCGGTCTGTGGCGATGTGGTGGGGGCTGCAAGTGCAGTGGGTGTGGTCGTGGGGGGAGGGTTGGTGATAGGAGAGTGACCAGGGATTGCTCGGTAGGGGTTGCCGTGGGTGCGGCTGTCGGTGGGGGATATGCTGGTGGCCAATAAGGTGAGTGAGACTGTGGGGAGATCATCATGGTTGGTAGATTCCAAGTGGGAGTGGGGTCTGGCTGTTGGAATAGAGGTATGGTGTTGAACGCAGGTGGGATCTGGACAATCTGTGCAGTGGGCATGGAGCTCAAGTGGGATGATAAACTTGTTGGCGTCAAAGTTGGTGTGTAGTGAAGAGGTGGGTGGTGTAGAGGTGGTTGAAGCTGAGGTACAGGGACTTGCATGGTTGGCATCGATCCATAAGGAGCCGAAGGTGCCGTCAATGACGTTGTGTGAGGAAGAGGACCATAAGGCGTCGTTGTACTCGTCATTGGGGAGGCCTGAGGAAACCGCTGGTAGTTCATGGCGTCCCGGTGGAGCACGGTCGGAAAGAGGCTGAGCAGTAAAGATGTGTACAATTGCTTCGAGCATGTGCCCTGCCTCAATTTCCGAATTTCCGTGCTAAGTCCCGCCCGTGATTACTTAGACGTATAATCTGTACAAGTGAACACTTAGACAAATGCGCGCGTGAGAATGCAAATCCGGTTCAGAGTTTGAGTCTCAGTAAGCCCTGCGGCATAAAATCAGTGGTGTTGTGCGAAGCGGTCAATCAGTGAGGGTTCAGAACGAAATTCCAGTGCAGAGACGGAGCAATCAGAGAGAGACATTCCCCAGCATCTGGGTCTATGCGCATGCAGCGCCCCTCGACGGGGATCACAAAACACACTTAGATTGTTGCTCGCAAGAGCTAGGATCAGTATGAAGTCCCACTTTACACGCATTAGACCTTGACTGGAAAAGAATGCAAACAGAAAGGCGGCGAGTCTGAGAAATTGAAGATGTTTAACAGTTTTGTTTAAACCTGGGTGAAACGTGATGAGTCGGTGTTAAAATTAGCAGGTACACAGTCAGACGTCTCTGGCTGCTTCCCATGACATCACTAGCTTCGTTGGCCAGCGTCGTGATGTCATGCGCTGGCCCCCTGCTGTGGTCAAGTAGAATCTTGTAGACAGTTCTCGAAAAGCATCCTGATTAAAACGATCGTCAAACGAGTGAAATCCTTGGAAACAGGCGTTGACACACACACACACGGCAGACGCTCGCAGACACGCACGCACACACTGCACACACAGACGCAGACAGACAGACAGACAGAGACAGAGACAGAGACAGAGACAGGGACAGGGACAGAGACAGAGACAGAGACAGAGACAGGCAGAAGACAGACAGACAGGCAGAAGACAGCAGACAGACGGACAGACAGACAGAGAGAAAGAGAGCGAATCAGAGGAGTGAGAGAGAGACTGACTTGCTTACTTACTTTTTTCTTTCTTGTTCACATACTATTTACTTACTTACTCACTCACTCACTCCCTCACTTGTCTTTTTACTTACCAACCCACCTACGTCACTCCTTACTGCCATACTTTCTTTACTTATTCTAACGAATCCAACTTAATTTCGCTGTACTTTGCGTTGCGTTGCTTGCCTTGCCTTCTGATTTCCTTTTTCACTTTTTTCTTCGCTTCTTTCCTGACTTCCTTCCTTCCGTCTTTACTTTCATGTTTGCTGACTTATTTAACTACCTATCTACCTACTATTTACTTGCTCGCTTACTTATTTACTTACTGACTGACTGACTGACTGACTGACTTACTTACTGACTTACTGACTTACTTATTTACTTACTTACTTACTTACTTACTTAGCTTAGCTTAGCTTAGCTTAGCTTAGCTTGCCGTACTTACCTTACCTTACTTTCCTTGCCTTGCTTTACTTACCTTACTTTATCTCTTACCTTACCTTATTTTACTTACCTTTACTGGTCCTTTAGATTGTTGCTCGTTGTTGGTCCCTTCGATATGCCGCCACGCTATGCAGAAGGGTCGTCTTTGGACGTGTTCGTTAGAGCGTGTTGAAGCTCTGGGACGGGGTTGGCAACGAACCAGACAGGAGACCTGAGATGCGAGACCCAAAAGCTCAGGTCAACCTTTTTCTTTTTCAATATTGTCCGTTCTTGCAAAGGCTCCCGGCGCTTTCGTGCTGCCAATGATGCGCGGGAAGCAAAGGACCTTGCGCTGCAGATGGGAGAGGACTGAAGCTGCGCGTTTGTGGGACTTCTCACCTTCAAGAACAATCTGTATATTTCATCTGACCAAGAGTCGTGACTGGCCTGGCTGGCTGGCTGGCTGGCTTGCTCGCTTACTTGCTCTTGCTGGCTCTTGCGTTGAAATACACAAGTCTCCCAGCTGCCCTGACAGAAGTCTTGGGCTGACTTGGGTTCAATTGCCACACTTCCAAAGAAAGGATGTCAAGACTAGCCGCGGCTGCTACTTTTGCAACGTGGTGGGGCAGGAAGCCCGAGGCTGTGAAGAGGCTTGAACGCTGAAGAGGACTTGGAAAGGTTTGCCACTTCTCCCGGTCTCCAGCTCTGATTCCCGAAAGCATTGCGAAGGGTTCTTCCGGAAAATCCCTTGAACACTGACACTTCGACGCGTACACTTACACACTGACACTTCCACCACATTCGCACTACATACACTCACACTTCGACACTGACACTTACACATACACACTGACACTCGGCAAGCGCGCAGTGTAAGTATGCAATGAGCACGCAAGCATGCAATGAGTAGGCAAGTGTGAGTATTGGAAAACTAGCACGGGAGATGTCCTAATGAAAAAACATTTCCCCTATATAAATTCTCTCTTAAAGGCGGAGGGCGGGACGAACAGCGTCAACCGAAAGTGCAACCCTCTGCGGAGATCGTGCGTGTCGAGTGCGCGAAATGCAGGC